GGACCAAGTGGCTGGGGAGAGGGAAGTCTGGGCCTCCCTTCTTAAGCTGCTACCCCTGTGACCCGACCCCGGATAAGCGGAAGAGAATGGATGGATGGATGGATAATTCATGTTTTAAAAATGTCATAATCAAATAAAACAAACTTCATTCATGCATATCCATCCATCCATTATTTTTACCCATTTCTTCCTTTTCGGGTTGTGGGGGTCACTGGTGCCCATGTCCAGCCATCACTGTGCTAGAGGCGGGGGACACCCTGGAAAGAAAGGCCCCTGGCTGGGACTTGAACCAGGGCGACCTGCTCACTGAGAGGCGGCAGCTCTACCAACTGCGCTACCGTGCTGCCCTCATTCATGAATATGTTTTACTCAAAAGCTTCAAAGAAATTATTGAGATCCTTGGGTTTTAGTTTCAGACCCATTTGTAGACAGGCAAGGAGAGCAGGAGCTTAAATAAAATAATTTATTAAAACAACAAAAGAAAAGGCTGGCGAGGCAACAAAAACTCACACAGGCGAGATGCAAACAGGAAACAGGGCAAAACAGATTATCAGACGAGCAGGACAGAACGGGTCATCAGATAAACAGGGACATGACAGAACGGGTCATCAGATAAACAGGGACATGACAGAAAGGATCATCGGGCGACACAGGAACAGGCAGAACAGAGGAGGACCGGGACGTCTGTATGTGTAGAGCACCGAGCGGACGTTTGAGTAGTGAACAGGAGAGGTTATAATAAGGCAGAGGTACAGTGAATAATGAGTGCACCTGGGATGATTGCTGATTGGAAACTGGTGTGACTAATTAGTGGCTGGAGCAACAGGCTGAGGAGTGAGTGAATAATGGCAGGGAACAGAGAGACAAACACAAGAAGCAGAGAGGAAAATAAAGACACAGAAACACAAAGACAGCGGACAGAAGGGCCAGATCATGTCAGAAATGTGTAAGCATCTATAAAACTGTAAGTGATTAAGTGTCCAGGGTAGTGAATGTGTGAAAACATCAGACATTATTCTGGTCGAAAGTAACTTTAAAGAAAACCAGTTCAGTGTGGTTATGAAAGGTGACATCAGGGTCAAAGGTCACGGTCCGGAGAGCACATCTTCCTGCTACACATTAGGATGTTGCAGCAGTTAAAGATGTTACAGCTTGTTAAAGTGTGTTGCAGTGTTTTTAATGCATTTTACAGGGTGTTGAAAAAGCTTAGTCTAATACAGCATGTTACAGGTGGCACAGCATTTTGTGTGTGATACAATATAATAGTGTGTTATAGTATGTTGGTAAGTCACAGAATGTCAGTCAGTGTGTTACATTGTATTAAAGCATGCTATGGTGTGTTGCAGCAAGATACTGTGAGTTACAACAAGTTACAGGGAGTTACAGTGTGTGACAACAAGTTGCAGTATGTTATTCAGTGTGTTACAGTATATTAATGCATGCATGTTGCAGCAACGTACAGTGTATTAATGCATGCATGTTGCAGCAACGTACAGTGTATTAATGCATGTATGTTGCAGCAACGTACAGTGTATTAATGCATAAATGTTGCAGCAACGTACAGTGTATTAATGCATGCATGTTGCAGCAACGTACAGTGTATTAATGCATGTATGTTGCAGCAACGTACAGTGTATTAATGCATGTATGTTGCAACAACGTACAGTGTATTAATGCATGCATGTTGCAGCAACGTACAGTGTATTAATGCATGCATGTTGCAGCAACGTACAGTGTATTACAACAAGTCACAGGGAGTTACAGTGTGTTACAACAAGTTGCAGTATGTTATTCAGTGTGTTACAACAAGTTGCAATATGTTATTCAGTGTGTTACAGTGTATTAATGCATGCATGCATGTTGCAACAACGTACAGTGTATTACAACAAATTACAGGGAGTTACAGTGTGTTACAAGTTGCAGTATGTTATTCAGTGTGTTACAACAAGTTGCAGTATGTTATTCAGTGTGTTACAACAAGTTGCAGTATGTTATTCAGTGTGTTACAGTGTATTAATGCATGCATGTATGTTACATCAAGGTACAGTGTATTACAGCCAGTTGCAGTGTGTTATTCATTGTGTTCTACTGTGTCAAGTTGTGTGACAGAATGTTCTTTAGCGCATTACAGGGAGTTGGTGTGTTACTGTGAGTTACAGTGGGTTACAACAAGTTGCAGTTTGTCATTCAGTGTGTTCCAGTGTGTGTCATAGTGTTTTATAGTGTTGCAGCAAGTTACAGTGTGTTATTCAGTGTGTTACTGTAAATTAAAGCATGCTATTTTGCATTGCAGCAAGATACAGTGTGATAAAATAAGTTCCAGGGAGGTAGTGTGTTACAGCAAGTTGCGCTATGTTATTGTGTTAAAGTGTTTTATATTGTGTTGCAGTGAGTTACAGCATGTCATTCAGTGTGTTGTGTTTTGTGGTATATTTAAGTGTGCTATTCTGTGTGTTCTAATGTGTTACATGTTACAGTACATTGCAGGATGTTACATGATTTGTTACAGCAAGCCATTCAGATTTTAAGTTTTTAAATCATGTGTGTGTAATCGTGCTGAAGCATGTGTGCACAATGTGTTACACGGTGTGTTGTAGTGCGTTCTGTCACCCCATTGCTGTAGTGGTGGATGTGAATATGCGAGTCCTGGTACACTGAGGGGAAAGTGGATCCATGCTTCAGCTCCTCTGTGGTCAGTCGGTGGTTCACCATGTGATAATGAAGAGCGTTTAGCAGCTCAATGTTCACGTTGCTCACCAGAGCGTCCAGGATCTCCTGCAACACAAAAATCAGTGAGGTTCTATTGATAAGACAGATCTTGGTTGGCAGGCCTCAGACTGACGAAGTCTTTCAGATAAAAGACAAAATGTTTCTCCCAAAAAGAAACTGACCAGATGACATAATTTAACCTTTTTTTGTGAAAACGTTTGGCTTTGCCTTCGTACGAATGACAGTTTTTATTTTTAATTGTTGAATATTTTCTACACAAAAGTCTGTATGTTTGAGGGCTTTCTTCCGGAGACACTTCAAGTGAAATTTGATTTGCTTAAAAGGTGGTATCTAAAGACTGATTGGTTGATTCTCTGCCTCATGAAGGCCTTCAATAAAGATGCGCCAAAGAAAACAGTAACTTATGTTTTATTGACTTTATATTGTCCTGAAAATTAAGCAGAAGAACTGGACTTCTTCAATGATTCTTAAAGGTGTTTGACTTCTTAGCTGAGTTTTCTTAATCATAATATTTAGATGAATAAGAATTCTTCTGAAGAGATGCCTTCACAGTCTGAGGAACCTGGTTCACTTTAGGGATGAAAAAACGAGCACGAGTTACCAAGTTGGTGTGGTCTGCTGAGACTCCTTCCTGAGAATAAAGAAGGCTGACAATTAAAAAGTGCTTCAACAAAATCATTAATTTAAGGGTGGCCACGCTAATTCAATCAACCAATAGCTTATTTTTATATTTTATATATATTTTAGAAGCATAAATCCAGGTAAATAACAACTAAATCAACTGTAATGGTAAATGTTGTAAATTTTCCTATGGGACAGATCTATGCAGACAGATACATCTATGGGACAGAATAGTGCAGAACCACTAGGCTGAGGAACAGCTTCTACCCTGAAGCTGTTAGACTCACAAATCCCTATTCAGGATTATTAATGTGAAAATTACTGTGGAAAAAAATCACTGTAATGCCACTTGATTGTTGATATGTGCTGCTGACTATCCATGATGCTGATCTCATGCTGCTGATTTATTTCATGTTGCTGTGTTCATTCGTCCTCATCTGCTCACACAGACTCATGTTCGTGCTGCTGTTGTTTAGCACATTGTTTTGTACTATTAGTGCTTAGTATATTCTTAGCTTAGTGTATTTCTTAGTTCATATCTTCTTATTACTGTTTTTCTTTACAATTTGCATTTTTGTTGGATGTAACTGGGACCATGTGTACATAGTTTCATTCCACATGTACCACATGTGGTGTGAATTACAATAAAGACACCTTGACCATGATCTGGTTGGCAGGCCATAGACTGAGGAAGTCCTCTGGATGGGTGACGAAACATTTCTCACTTAAAGAAACTGGTCCAGATGACACAATTTAACCTTTTTGTTAACTCTCGACCTTGACTTCTCTAAGTGCCTTTAAACATCTGTTAAGTTCCTGGGGAAAACCGATGCAGACATGTTCCTCTTTTTAGTTTTCTACACCGCCCTACAATCTAGCTGTTTTTCTTCTACTTTGCCTTTTAGTTACCATTTTATTTTCATTTGTAAAAAAAAATTGCATCCTTTATGATTATCTATTGCTGTCTTTGTTGTCCACTGTTGTCATCACTCTTTGTTAAAATCAGGTCTCTTGTAAATGAGTCCCTGTGGCTCAGTGGGATTAACCTGTATTCAAAGGTGGCGCAGAGGTTAGAGAGGTGGGCCTGTGATCCGAAGATTGCCAGTTCCCCGGCCCTGACAACATCAAAATTGTGGGTGGGGTAGGTGAAGCACCCACACTTGCCCCCATCCTCATTCGCCCCACTCTGGGCCCATGAGCAAGGCCCTTAACCCCCCATCTGCTCCCTAAACAGGTCTCTCTTGAAAATGAGTTCTCGTGGCTCAATGAGACTACCTGGATAGTTAAAGGATAAATGAAAATACAAAAACAACTGGACTTTATTTGTAACAGAAGACGTTTCGCTCCTCATCCGAGGAGCTTTCTCAATTCAAACAGCAATGAGTGAGGGAACAGGTGGAAGAGAACTTGGAGAGGTGGAGGTATGCACTTGAAAGAAGAGGAATGAAAGTCAGCCATAGTAAGACGGAGTACATGTGTGTGAATGAGAGGGAGGAGGTGGAACAGTGAGGCTACAAGGAGCAGTGTTCACAAAGGTGCAGGACTTCAAGGATTAACCTGGATAAATAAAGGTTGAATGAATGGAAAAAAAATAAAAATTGTTCCAGGTTTTATTTTGAAAAGCAGAAACCGGAAGTGTGTGTCATTTCGTCATCCGGGCAGATGGAGTTCGTTATGCTGACGGCAAACTTCGTGTGTTTCTTCCCAGCGCCATACGTCAGCCAAAATAATCTTTAACGGACCTGTCGACACTTTATAAGAACTTTTCTGGGTTCGGACAAGTTTTCGTGTTCCGGTACCGCTCTGAAAGTTTCCGGTGTTTGTGAGTTTGTGAGTCAAGTTTTCCCCCAGCTTGTAAACCTGGGTGGACGGGAAGCTAACGCTGCTCCAGCTCTTATCAGGCTCGGCTCTGAGCCGTCCTCATTCCGGAAAACTGACGGTAATTGGATCGAACTACGGAGGCGAAAACATCAGGATTCGTGGACCGAACATGGACCGTGAGAGCAGATAGCGTCAGTTAACCGGGAACCGGAAACGGCTGCTCTTCGCCTCCCGCTGCTCCAGGTTTTAAGTCGTTCAGCTCGGAACCGACTCCACCAGGATGCCTGTTGACGCCATCAACTTCGGCTTGCTCCACCGAATCTGCAAGTTGGTGGTTCTTCTCTGCTTCCTGCACATTTTCGTCACTGTTGTCTTCTATGTCCGCTCCATGGACATCCGCATCTCCTTCGCCCCAAAGCTGCAATCCCACCATAATGTGACCTGGCCCGTACAGGGCACAGTCGGGGCCATCACCTCCAGAACCGAACCGAAGGTAGACCCCGCCGTGGGGCAACCCCAGGACAAGCCGGAGCAGAAGACCACACAGGAGCCGGTGAAGAAGCTGGAGAAATGCCCAGAAACGTCACCTCTGTTGGGTAAGACCGGTCAGACAGTGGACCACTCTAATCCCAGAACCAAAACCAGCAGAAGGTTAAAGCGGTGTTCCTCAGGGCAGCAGCTGGACTTGACTTGTTGCTTCTGGAAGAAACTAAAGTTGGACCCGAGAGGATCGAAATGACTTTCGGAACCAAGAAAACAAGTCCAGCTGCTTTCTCTCTTTAAGAGCTCGTGAAAACAATACACAACTCCAAATTTTACAGTAACTTTACTTGGAGAAATAATCAAAATATTCAAAATATTTACAGAACATGAGCTACAGAATTCAGTACATCTGACTATACACTGGAACACCGTTGAATAGTGATGGTCAAATGAAGCAATAAAGCAGTATTGAACCACTTTGCCATTTGTATTGAACTTGGGTTCATTCATTCAAAGGTTCATTTCAGTCACATCTAGTGGTGAAATATAGTATATATTTATATATATATTTAAATATGTGTGTCCTCCCCCCAGAAAAATTGGAATAAAAGATGCCATTTCCTTCATTTTGGTGTATTTTAACAGGTTGTTAAACATTTGAATAAACTGGTTAAAAACAGGTCTCTCTTGACGAGGCTCAAGGCGAAACCTGTATAAATAAAGGTTGAATTGAAATTACTATGCCTGTGTATGAATGCACGTCCTTGACAGTCTGTCAGGTGTCCTAACATCCCCCCCCCCACACACACACACACACACACATACACACACACACACACACTGCCGACCTGAACTCTTCTCAGCTGAATTCAGTCCTGTGTGTTCTGCTCCAGTCTCACTGCCATCCATCCATTTATTTTAGATAAATTGTCTTTTCAACATTTTGGTCGCTGTTATTTTGACTAATTAGTGCCGTTGTTTTGATACTTGATGTAATACACATCAAACATTTCACTCGTTTTTTTTTTTTTTTTTTTTACCGTAAGCTTATTTATTATGTCTGAAATGTTATGCACTGTAATGTATGAAGGGGTTCCGACACAGCAGTTGTGCACGCGTCCTGCAGAGCTGTGTGGAGACGCTGTGTGTAAAACAACTGTCTCAGGGCGCACAGCTGGAGGAGGATGAAGACGCTCCCCGTGGGACATGCAGTCCGTGTCTCTGCTGGCAGGAGCGTGGCGCGGACAGAACATCCACTCGTTGTACTTTTAATAAATAATCAAAATAAAAATGCGCAATGACTTTGGACTTTTAGGGGCGGAGTTGGCGGATCCGAGCGGTCAAAATTATAGAGTTCCAGGATCTTGTTCTGACAGGATCCGGCTCAAATGAACCACTGTCTGAATGTAAAAAACAAGAGCTGTTCATAACGTATAATACGTGTAGAACGGGGATGTGAACCGGGGCTTGAGCATCTTAAATACACTGAATCACGCCAAATTGAAACTCCGCCTGTCAACTCGAAGCAGTCAGCTGACTCGGTCTGAATGAAGCAGTGAAGTGGTTCACACGTCATCTGTGACGTCACATGAAGCGAGCTCCGGCCCACTGCTTCAGCATAACTACCCTATCGAGTTTGAAGCGTGCTTTGAAGCTTCGGTGTTAGAGGTAACATCACTACCATTGAACTGGAACCTGTCACTGGAGCACAACACTACACTGGAAGATGGAAGGAGTACTTTGAGGAGCTAATGAATGAAGAGAATGAAAGAGAAGGTTGTAGAAACTGTGAACCAGGATGTGGGAATGATGAGTGATGGTAAAGTCTGGAAAGCTCTGAAAAGAATGAAGGGGAAGGCAGTAGGACCTGATGACATACCAGTGGAGGTTTGGAAATGTCTTTGAGCTATGACAGTGAGGTTTATGACTCAATTATTCAGTGGCAGATTTGAGGGTGAGAAAACACCTGAGGAATGGAGAAGTGTGCTTGTGCCCATTTTTAAGAACAAGGGTGATGTACAGAGTTGTAGCAGCTACAGGGGAATTAAGTTGATGAGGCACACAATGAAGATCTGGGAGAGAGTTCATGATGAGAAAGAGAACCACAGAGGCCATCTTTAAGTAAATAAATAAAAGATGCTGATGGCGAAGTACAGAGAGGGTCAGAAAGAACTCCATTGTGTCTTTGTGGATTTAGAAAATACATACAGTATGACAGGGTGCTGAGGGAAGAGGTGTGGTGAGATATGCTGTAGGAGTGACAGATGGATTCAAGGTGGAGGTGGGAGTGCATCAAGGATCGTCTCTGAGCCCCTTCTTGTTTGCTCTGGTAATGGACCGACTAACCGATGAGGTCAGGCAGGAATCCCTGTGGACTATGATGTTTGCAGATGACATTGTGATCTGTGATGAGAGTAGGGAACAGGTGGAAGAGAACTTGGAGAGGTGGAGGTATGCACTTGAAAGAAGAGGAATGAATGTCAGTCGTAGTAAGACAGAGTACATGTGTGTGAATGAGAGGGAGGCCGGTGGAACAGTGAGGCTACAAGGAGCAGAGGTCACAAAGGTGCAGGACTTCAAGGACGTCAGTGTTGGACCGTCTGGATTTCCACTGTCCAGGAACATGGGGAGTTTGGTAAAGAGGTGGAAAAGGGAGTCCAGGCAGGATGGAGTGGATGGAGAAAAGATTCAGGAGTGATTTGTGACGAAGGTCAAAGGAAAAGTTTACAAGACAGTGGTGAGACCAGCTATGTTGTAAGATAAGATTAGGAATGAGATCATCAGAGGTACAGCACAGGTTGAACAACTGGGAGATAAAGTTAGAGAGACCAGACTGAGATGGTTTGAACATGTCCAGAGGAGGGACAATGGTTTGGACATGTCCAGAGGAGGGACAATGGTTTGGACATGTCCAGAGGAGGGACAGTGGGTTTAAGGATGTTAGAAATGCAGCTGTCAGGTAAAAGACAAAGAGGAGATATATGGATGATGCAGTTAGAGAGGACATGGAGGTAGTTGGAGTGAGGACAGAGGATGCAGAGGACAGAGTGAGATGGAGGAGGATGACTCACTTTGGTGACCCTTAAGAGGTAAAAACTGGAAGAAGTTGTCGTCTCTGGAATGCATAACTGGAACATAACACTAGACTAAAACGCAAAACTGCTCTGATATCTTATTTTACACACATCACTGGAACATAACAGCACAACAGCTCCGTGGTTACCACTGTTGCCTCACAGCAAGAAGGTCCTGGGTTCAATCCCCGGTTGGACTTGGGGTCTTTCTGTGTGGACTTTGCATGTTGTTCTCGTGCTTGCATGGGTTTTCTCTAGGTCCTCCGGTTTCCTCCCACAGACCAAAAACATGCATGTTAGTCTGCCTTCTCCCTCGCCAAAGAGATCTGTGATCTCAATTGGATTTGCCTGGTTAAATAAATGTTAATAAATAAATAATAACACTGCACTGGAACACAACAACTAACAGGAACACGTCACTGGTGTGCATAACTGATACACAACACTACACTGCGACACATCAGTGAACACAACTCTACCCAGTAACATACAACTGGAGCACTTCATTTAACGTGACAGTTTCACTGGAACACAGCATTTAACAAGAAGCTGTCAGTGGAGCACAACACTGGAATACACCATTAAACAGGAGCTTGTCACTGTAACACAGCATTTAAATGCATTCACCGGTAACTGGAACACAAACACTACACTGGAAAATAAAACTACACCGAAACACAGCAATTAACAGAAACATCACTGGAACACATTAATACACTGGAATGCAACACCTGCTACAAAACACTAAAACAGAACGTTACACTGAAACATTACACTGGAACGTTACACTGGAACGTTACACTGGAACGTTACACTGGAACGTTATACTGAAACATTACACTGAAACGTTACACTGGAACGTTACACTGCAATATTACACTGGAACGTTACACTAAAATCTTACACTGAAACATTACACTGGAACATTACACTGGAACGTTACACTGGAATGTTACACTGGAACGTTACACTGCAACGTTACACTAAAATCTTACACTGGAACGTTACACTGAAACGTTACACTGGAACGTTACACTGGAACGTTACACTGGAACGTTACACTGGAACGTACACTGGAACGTTACACTGGAACGTTACACTGAAACGTTACACTGAAACGTTACACTGAAACGTTACACTGAAACGTTACACTGGAACGTTACACTGGAACGTTACACTGGAACGTTACACTAGAACGTTACACTGGAACGTTACACTGGAACGTTACACTGGAACGTTACACTGAAACGTTACACTGGAACGTTACACTGGAACGTACACTGGAACGTTACACTGGAACGTTACACTGGAACGTT